TGTGTACTTTTGACACCGCTGCCAGTTGGGTTAAGGCTGGATATTAGGGAGATGTCAGCAAAAAAACATATTTTCTTCTCTTTAAAGGAAAAAAGTTCAGAAATTACTGAAAAACGAGATTCAAAACAGATTTAAGAACATTTGTTAATATAGATCTAATTATTTCATAGCGGTGACCCAATTTTTTCAAATTACTTTATAACCTTTTTTTTTTTTTTAAGCTTCAAACATCTCAACCCATCCCTTAAACCCAACAATTCACAACAATCTGTTTGAGTAGAGCTCCTTTGTGATTTATTTTTCTATATATCTATGAACATACACGTGTCTTAGTAGTGGGGTCTGCGTCTGTGTATGGCTGCGGATGAAGGGGGGAGGAAGGAGAAAAAAAAATAGGTCACCCCTTAAAACAAAAAGCTTGCAGTCAACATCGTAACCGTCTGCTGAATTCTCATTGGCTGGCCTGTCTCCATGGTAACAGGTTAACCTTGAGGCAGTAGTCACATGGGCGAGCAAGTCTTCTGCTGTCTTGGAGGATACAGAATACGTCGTGTGACATCCCTGATCGTGGTGCCAGCCAGTCACGGTGGGTTGGAGAAAAGAAAAACACACACACACTCACAGGCCAAATAAAACAAAACACGCAGGGAGCCCATCAAACCAGAGGTGTGAAGATGACACAACATTCACAGCTCGAGTGATGTGCTATAATCTCACTGTGAGCAGTGTGAATGGCTGAATGGATACATGAATGAGGAGCAGAGACCTCAATGGAGGTGCGAGAGGGGATCACAGACAGACAGAGAGGGGAGATCATGCTTTAAACTGGGAGATTACACCATAATGGGGGAGAATCACCAGGGTGGGTTTGATCAAGAGGCGTGAAAAACAGTGGTTAAAAACAAAAACCCCTAACATCCTTTAAATCAAACATTTTTACAGTCAGAGAAGAAACGCAGAAAATTTTAAATCTTCAAACTAATTCAACCAAATAAAGCTACATTTGTAAATAAACGACCAAATGTTTAGATGTAATAAAGGTGATCCAGTATATCTCAAAATACCAGGCAGAGCAGGGGGAATCTCTCTAGAAAGGAGGCTTAATGTGAGAGACACTGACCTCTGCAGGCCACACAGGGTAACACAGGCGGGGAGAGCTCAGCGGCCTGTGTGTGAACCCTGAGAGTCTGAGAAGCGTTTGAAATATTCAGCTGCCAGCCTGTGACCGTCCATGACCTCAGATAGGTGCTTCTGAATTCAAGCAGTGGCTTCAAGTAATGCGTGTGCAGAGAAAACTGAATTCCGACTCACCTCTCTCTCTTAGATCCTAACGGAATAAAAGATCAAATCATATTTGGAGTACTGCGTATTTTTTATTCATTACCGAATGAAATTATGATATTTAAAGTATGTAAAATATAAAGAGAGAAACATTATATAAAAAGTAATAACTACACCCTATTGTAAGATTTTTCTACCATGAAATAGGAAACCACAACTTGCAGTTTCTTTTAAATAATCTAATTAACCCATTCTTACCTCACTAATTGCTTTTTTTTTTTACATAACTTTTATGTTTTTCAAAACTGATGTCACTGGCCTTATGGTCTCCAAATTTTGTAAATAAATTTGGGGATGAAGGCAAGTGGAAATCCATCACAAATGGAAGCATATGGGTCCTGAAATACGTATATAACCCAAAATATAATACATAAAAGCAATCCAATGTGAGTGTGATATTATACTTTTGTTTCTCTTGTACTCATTGATTTTAACTTTCTTTTTTTCTAGACGGACCTAATTCTATTTTAAATGGACAGAAACTTCATAAGTTTGCCTGTTCTTGCCATTTCTGAATGGTAATCCTCAGGCAGATGGAGGACTACTAACATGTAAGACAGGCTCCACACTGGAAAAACAATCTAGAAATAAGTCAAAATTTTTCAAATTACGTGCATTTACCCTTAATTTGACTAGGTAAGTGAGATAGTTTGCCAATGGAAAGAATGCTTTTACTCTTAAAATAAGATATTTAGATAAAATGCACTTGAAATAAGACGATGCAATTGTGTTTTCTTATTTTAAATGTAATTTGTCTTGTTCCATGGCAAAGTGGATCTTTTTCCTCCTCAATCCAAGAAAAATTGCACTTATTTTAAGAAATAATGACTTATCTAGATTTAGATTTTTTCCAGTGCAGCAGCACCTTCCCAACTGATCTTAAACAAACTAAGAGGGAAGAAATCAGATGGATAATTTGTCTGAGCTTAAAGAGCAAGGAGGCAATTCTGGCCATGATGGTAATTATTCATTTTAGGCAAAAATTGTATTCCTTATGTAATTAGCCTGATTTTTCAACTATATGACATGTTTATTACTTCAATTTAGATCATTTAGCCCAGATAACTGTCGTAAGCCAAGGGCTACTTCGCTAAAGGTCAAAATATAGATGTTTTTTCTTTCTCATTCAATTAAAAATAATATTAAAAAAAAAAATAATTCTCCAAATGTGTTCACTGTAATTGTTTTCTCATAAATTTGATGACATTTACAGACAAGGGATCTGCAACCTGTTCCTATGGGGCCACATGTGGCTCTTCAGGCACTTCAGTATAGCTTCTAAATTTTTTCCCCCGCACATAATAGTAATAAAAAGGGATATTCTCTATGGATATTATGCAATATCTCTGTACACATTTCACAACAGAAATACACTAAGAGCCATTTTGTGTTTGATCTTATTTACACTATATTTCTTTCTGGTTTAAAGAAAGAAAGTATTATTTCATCCCAGGTTTGACTAATATAATTGCTGTGCTTCCAAAGAAACTATAAAAAAAATAATTTTTATAATTTCTTCTAAAAACAGAATAAAGGTTTCAAAAACTACAAATGATGTTTTAAGGAATCTCCGATCAGTGTAGAATGCTCTGGTTTAACTCTGACCAGTCTAAACATGGAAGATCTTGAACAAGAAAAGTTCCTTTTTATCAAGAATCCTGAAAAGAGACATCAAAATGTCCCACCAGATGAAATCAGCGCCATAAGAATATGAATCAGTTTACCAAATCCTGGTGTAAAGAAGTAATTTATTGCAAGTCGTACAAAGTGGCCACCACCAGGAGAAAACCTGGCTTTAATAATGCCTCATGGTTTAAGGCCTATTTACACCCACCTAATTTTAACTAATCCTTGCCAAATATAGAAGAAAATAACTAAGGAACTGTAAGCCCAAATTACATGTGTGATACATCATTTGAAAGCTAACACCTTCTAGTTTATGAAAATATAAATGGAAATAGTGTGACTAAAATTAAGCCCAAACTGCAGAAGATAAAACATGACTAAAAGTTGTCTTGTTCTTCCAAAAAATAAGACCTTCCTTGAATAGCAGTAACAAATACGTGTTTGACAATAGGCATGTTTCATTGTATTACATTTATTCTGCATTATGTCAACCACAGCTGTGGAAAATCTCTGATCTCTAGGTACAACAGTTCCAGAGCTATGAGACTTTTAACCTCTAGAGTCACCAGCGTCTCCAAACCTCTCCAAATGTGCCAAATTAATCCAAAGTATGCTTTTTCCTTTAGACAACAATGTTACCCCATAAATCACACTGAAGCATTTTGATGGCTACAAAGTTTTTTTGAAAGAAATATTTTTCAATTTTCCATCTAATTTTCTAACAGCATGATCCAGTCACTAGTCTGCCTGAGTGCCGTTTATGCCTTGCAATATCTCTGGGCTGCACAATTCAAATAAGCCATTCTTACCCTTGTTTTAAAGGTAATTTAATTAGCTCTAGTGCCAAACATTGCCTGTAGACTTAAGCAATAGCAACCAGACTTTATGAGAAATAATATGAGGGGAAGCATGCGTAAAGAAGGCGACTAAGAGGGAGCGCTTGTTACATTTCGAGGGCTGCCCCGGCATCAAATCTAAAAAAATAATTGACAGGGACACTTGATTTGAAGGCTGAAAGGTGATAACAACAAACATACCAAAAATCGACCAAGAAATGTTTTTGAGAAGCTATGGTAATTAGCAAAACGGTTAGCATCAACTATAAGGATCTAACTTTTCTAAAGGAAAAAAGCTGATTTTATGTGTCGATTTTCTCATCATGAAATGTTTTTATTACTAATATACTGGTTTGGTTTGTATTGGTGGACTTTAACGGAAAAATTGAATATAAACAATCTACGATTAGATTTATAATACGGCCTCAGGATCGCTTCAAAGGTAGAATGAACAAGGTTTGCTTTAAAAATTCTGATTTAACATGCTGCTATATCTTTCTTCATTGTGCTTTGGTGCTCATGGTGTCCATAAAATGAACTTGGCAGTTGAATTGTGGAGAATCTAAGCTTTCTGAAGATGTATAACATGTTTATAATGGTAAAAGTTTAATCAGTGTTATTTTCAAGCACAATGCTGCATTTAATATACAAAACAGGTCGCCGGCGACCAGGTTGATGCTATTAATGTTTTAAAGAGTAAATACTCTGAAAGGAACCACACTGTTCATTCTGGAGCTTCATCTGCAGGAGAGGATTGTCATTTGCTTAATTTCAGCTTTGAGCTGAAACTGAATGCTGTCAACATAGATAATTTCATGATTGAAATGCTGCAAGGATCAGACTTTCATTGTTTTTGTGTCCTTGGGCCAGACTTTTTTACCTAAATTGCCTACCGATAGTGGTCAGAAGGCCCATTGGCGCCACGTACGGCAGCCTCGCTTCTGTCAGTGAGTCTCAGGGCAGCTGTGGCTACGATCTAGCTCGCCACCATCAGTGCGTGTGTGTGAATAGGTGAATGAAAAGCGCTTGGTCATGTCCTCTGACTTGAAAAAGGGCTATATAAGTACATGCAATTTACAATTTACATTTACTTTCATCAAAGTTAAACTGCTGTGGAAAGGATCCACGCCTGTGCAGAACAGAATTAAGGAAGAGAAACAATGAATGTGAAAAATATCGTCTATTCTACACTGAACCCGATTGATTCTGAGAAAGTTTCACTCTAATGTAAAACTGGAGCTTTTTTAAAAGAAAAGACGTCAAACATTAAACCCACGGCCAGATTTAGCTAACAATATTGTCACGGTGTCATTTGAGTTGATGTGTTACTTTTGATATCGTAAAATCTTCCAACAGTTTTTTTGCATAGATTTTTAAATGTGAAAAAAATTCTATTTTTTTTTTAAAAGGCAGCTGCAGCATTTCTTAGAACAGAAGGCTTTTATTAGCCTAGTATACTAAATAAAATAACAGATGAATGTCACAGTGCCTCTATATCTCAACCTGTTAATTTAAGACAAAGAAAAATTTAAGAAACAAAAAAAATTAACAGTCCAAGTTACAGTAATGCACAGCTGAATTTCAAGGTGATGGCACTGTGTCTCCTCTATCACAAGTCCTTAGACAAAGTAAATCATAATTACTATATTTTTATAGTACGAAACATGGTTTATAGAGTAAAAAACAAATATAAGAACATGTTTGCAGTCTATGTCTGAATCAGAGTTCTCTGGTACCATGTTTTTCACAGGATTTTGAGTCACAATGAAAGCTGTTCCTGGTCCTCATCATCACAGCAGCTGATTGACCCGTCTGTCCCAAAGTACCGGTCCCCGAAGTCTCCTGTAAGCACACAACAATAAACTCATGGCAGCCAGAGTTACTGATAATGTCAACAAAGAGAGGTATTCAATGAATAACAGGATATCAGAAGAGGCAGAGCACAGAGGCAATTTAAAATAAATAGATATACTAATGATTTGGATTGCTCTAAATTAAAAGAGACTACCAAAGCAAAGGTCTTTATGATGTTCTAACATAGTACTAATCTTGAAAAAATATCCTGGTTTTACTTAATGAGTTGATATTCATGAAATACAAACAGCATTATGTTAAAAAAGAAAAATCAACAGGCAGGGCTCCTTTAATTTCCTTAATCAGACCACTTTTTGCAACTGGGAATAGTTAAAATTAATTAATTT